AAAAAGAAAAAGAAAGAAAGGGCGTCATGTTAAGTTTATCACTTTCTACCCATCAGGCATTGTGTTAAGTGCTAGGGATAAAACAATAAATGTGGCCTCCTTCCTGAAGCTTATTCTATAGGTCAATGTCCTGGAAAACCAACAAAGAGGTTTTGCAATAGTTTGATGTCGTGACCTTTCCTGTTTCTGGCTCTTTGCACATAACTGTTGCCTCTATCAGAAATGCTCTCTCTACATTCCCTTTCCTCACCCATCCCGAGTCTAGCTAATTCCTTTCTCAGGACTAAGATTAAATGATCCTTGTTCCAGGCAGCCTTCTCTTTCCCATGACTAAATCAATCAATTCCACTTGCTATATATATACTTCAAATGCTGTGATTCTTCTTGGTAACCGCACTTATTAATTCTTTGTCTTCCTCTCCAAACTGTAATCTGTGTGAATATAAGAGCCAAATCTGTTTTGCTCAACACTGTATCTCCAGCACTAATCAAGAGTACACCGTTAATGAATTAGTCAATGAATGAGAAAATTTTAGAACATAATCTTTCCTGATCTCTCAGGCTGATTATAAGAAACCTAAATTATTATATTTATACATTTCAGATATGTAAGACTATGTGGTCTCTTCCTCATGGCTCCAAATGCTATGCATTTATCTTAAATACATGTATCTTTATTTTTTTTTCTCTCCTCTCAAACCCTAAACTGTCACTTTCTACTACTTTCAAGTCTACTTTTCCTAGCAGATTCCAACTACTTCTAATTTGCAGCTATCTGCTGAGCTAAAAGCAGATAAATTCAGTTACAAAGGCTATAAATATTGGCATAAAACCAATAATAGTACATGGTTTTTGAGGAGTATTTTTTTGAGAGAGAGCAGACAGTGGTGGAGTAGGATGGAACGGGGATAAAGAGAGACACGATGCTCTTTTATAAGTAAACTACTTAAATATCACTGCATGATTTCCTTTGTTAACGAAGCCTTTTCCTTTTGCTAACTGTAGTTTATTCTCTGTTATATAATTCCAGATAATCGCTACACGTTTCTTCATTCAAATAAACAGTTGAAAAGAAAAATATGAAAGTAACCATTCCATTGTACATGGTAAAGAAAAGCATCACTTGAAAAAAACTGAACCAAGGTAATGAGGAAAAAATATCGGAGTTTTCATCAATTCAAGGTTTACAGCTTTTCCCATTTACAAATTATATGACAGTGGAATGTGTCTCACAATCAAAACCTTAAAATTGGCAAGTTTTTTTTCTTTCTTAGTTGTACATAAAATAATGATGCATCTCATAACTGATGGCACTTTCCATTTGATGAAATGCTGTATATAATTTTATGTAAAAATATTCATCTTTTTTACTTTCTCAACTAGATGATTCTTAATTATCTACGCATGATATTAGCACATTCCATCTGCCTTGCCTCACTAAAATGAAAAACCAAATGCTCTTATTAAAGATGTTGACAGGAGAGAAACACCAATATGAAAGAAAAAAAAAAGAGCAGTGATTTGGTTTCACTGAGAAATTTTACCATGAAGAGACATTGGACCTTTACCAATCAATGGACCAAATTAAAATCTAGCTTAAGAAACCGTTAGTGAAATCCCTCAGAATTCGTATCTTTTGGAGAAAGTATCTATCTTTGCTATGCTGTATGTAATCGGACATAACAGTTAACTAAATTCTTTAATTATTTATTGTTGAATAAACAGAAATGAATCTTCTCCAGGTTCCTAAGGCAAATAGTCTATGAGCGGTCCTAAAATATGCAGGTGAAGTAGGAATTTTAATTTAGTGTAATTTAGAGCATTAGAATTCTCTCAAAGCATTATGTAACTAACTGAAGATACTTCTTGAATTACTAGCAACACAAGCACTAATGTGACTTCCAATTCTAAACCATCATAATTACGAAAAAAACTTGAAATTTTTCATTTAAATACAACTGCAAGTATTAGATACACTCAATTACTCTTTTACCTAAATAAAAACTCTCCAAAAAACTTATATACCATGTTATTATTTTTTTCTCCTCAGAGGCAAAAGTGTAAACCAATTGCTTCTAGCAATGATTAAGTCATTATTCTTATTAAGTCACTATTAATCTTAAACATTTTCTCTTAAAATAACAGGAAAGCATCAAAAGAAGTATTTCCACTTAGAGCTAATGAAAAAAAGAACAAAAGTCAATGAGAAACAAGCTTTAGAAAATATGCTAATAATAATAATGTCTGTTGACGTGAGATATTTTTAAAGAGGTAACTAAATAAAAGCTTGGATCTTACAATTACAATCATCACTGCAGAGTAAAAACACTAACACATTATTCTGGTTTTAATACCTACCTTTGTCTGGGAACTATGAAGAGTGCCCGGACCAGCTTCTTCCTATTTGCTTTTGTGTTCATGTTCATGCAAAAATCCATTGCTGCCTATAGGAGAGAAAGCAAACCTTTTTCTTAACAAAAATCCTGATTTAGCCACTAACGCAGAAACCCTGGATGCTACAATGGATTTCTACTTGTTCCTCAACATTTCAAAATGGTTTTAGAACACTACTATTGTAAGTATATTCCAAACTGTAAGATCACTAAGCTGAAATTCTTCTCTCCTTATACAGCTCAAAATATGTTTTATAAACTTTTTAATTGCAACCTAGTGTTAGAAACAAAACTTCGAGAGGGTAAAGTGAAGAACATGAGCGGTCTGGCAAATTATTATATGAAATGTACAATCAATGCCTTTGATCTCATTCAAGTTAAGTAAATCAATGTTAATATCAGGAAAGTTTTCTGACAGAATTAGAAAGCAGCAAGAATTACCAGGAGCCAAGAAAACTACTAATGCTAGGGCCAGCTGATTGGCTCAGTTGGTAAGAGCACGAGCTCTGAACAACAGGGCTGCCGGTTCAATTCTCACAAGTGCCAATAAGCTGCGCCCTCTACAGCTAAGATGGTGAACAACAACTCGACCTGGAGCTGGGCTGCCGTGAGTCGCCGGCAACAGCGTAGGCTGCAGTGGGGCTGCAGTGGGCTGCCCTGAGCTACTGTGAGTGGCAGGAAGCCAGCGTGAGCATCTGGCTGCTGACCAGAACGACTGTGAGAGGCCGTCCAATGGCTGGCGACTGACTGCCTCAGCCGGGAAGAGCGCAATGATAGTAACAACATGGGACAGTGAAGCGACGTCCTCCACAACTAGATTGAAGAACAACTTGGCTGTTCCCCTCCCCCAATTCCCCAATAAAAGTTTAAAAAAAATAAATAAAACAAACAAAAAAAACTACTAATGCCAATAAGGATAACTAAAAAGGAATAAAGATGAACTAGAGATGACAGACAGGCACAGATTATCCCCAGGAACATGTCAGAACATGCACCAACATTGGCTCTAAAGGTTCAGTACTGACAATGATATTTGGTAACTTTCAAGAAACCACATCATAGGACTATAATAAATATTCACAATTGCCATTAAGTATAGCAATCCATTGTTCTATATTTTAATAACAAAAATGTATTCAATATTTCATCAATATATCTAACATCAAATATAAATGTAAAAGAAAAGCTAGGAGAGGTGTATGTTCTGGGAGACAATTGGAAAACAAAAATATAAGTAACTGGTCTTTTTAAAATACAGGTGTGTATATTTTTTAATGTTAAAAAGAGTTTCAATATACTTGGTTTAAGAAAATGACAAGTTTAGGGCTGGCCAAGTGGCGCAATGGTTAAGAGCTGGCTTGGGACGCCAGAGGGCCCCGGTTCAAATCCCACGTATGAGGGCCAGTGACACTGCCCTCCACAGCTAAGATGCTGAACAACAGCTCAACCTGGAGCTGGGCTGCTGTGAGTCGCTGGTGACGNTGTTCCCCTTCCCCCAATTTCCCAGGATTGTTCCCATCCCCCCAATTCCCCAATAAAAATCTTAAAAAAAAAACAAAAAAACAAAGAATGTAACCTTTTAAAAAAAATACTCATGAAATGTTCATAAAAATTGACTATATAATAGGCCACAAAAAAAATTTCCAAAAAATTCCGAAAAGTAAAAATCATACACAGTATTCTTTAATTACAGTGCAATAAAAATATAAATTATTAACCATGTCAGAAAACAAAAGCCCCACTACCTGGAAATTTGAAATCTCTCTCAAAGATCTCCTTAGATAACAAAGAAAATAGAAACTGAAATTGGAGAATTTCTAGAAAACATAAAAACAGAAATCACCACATGTCAAAATGAAGAGATATACCAAAAACCATGCTCAGAGGTCAATTATTAAATGTCAGAAATGAAACAAAATGAAAGAAATTAAAAAAAAAAATTTAACAAAGATAAAAGCCAGAAACAATGAATAAGAAAACAGTAAAACAGTAGAATACATAAATAATAAGTCCAGAGATTTTTTTCTTTTTTTTTGGTTAATAAAAACACTAAAATGGATAAACCACTAAACATATCAAGAGGAAAAAAAGGGAAATACAAATACAGGATTGTTTGTAATGGCAAAGACTGGAATGTCCAAAATGTTTAAATACAGTACATTCATTAAAAGAACAAGGGAAATCTTTATGTATTGATATGAAAAGATCTCCAAAATATACTGTTAAGTAAAAACAGTAAAGTTCAGAATAGGTACAGTAAGTTGCCCCTGTAAAAAAAAACTATATAAGAATCTATAACTGCATTTTCTTACACCAGATGCAAAAGAAACTTTGGAAAGATACACAAGAATCAAGACAGTGGTTTCCTACTGGGAGGAGTGGGAATTGGGTAGATGGGGAGACAAGGATGGGAAGGATACTTTTCAGCATATAATGTTGTATACTTCTGGGTTTTGAGTCCTGTGAATATATTACTTATTTTTCAAAATAAAAATTTTAATTTGCATATGACCATCATTAACTCATCAAATATTTTCAAGCACTTAAGTGCACCAAACACTACACTTGGTGTTTGAGATGTACAAAATGAAAAGATCTAGTCCTCTCTTTTAAATAGTTTATAGTTGGGGCCAGTGGAGTGGCTCAGTTGGTTAAGAGCTCGCTCAAGAGTTTGAACTCTGAGCAACAGCAGTTCGAGTCCCAGCCCGAGCTGAGCAGCTGCTGAGCTGCCCAAAAAAAAGTAACACTAAGTAAACAGTTTATAGTTTTCACAGTTTAGTAGGAATACAGGCCTCAAACCAACATTTTTTATGATGTGATATAATGTGTGTAATTCTTCCTATGAAGACATCATGTTGAAAGTGCTCTAAAAGATCACCTATATCTACATAGGGGAAATAAGGATGGTTGTTCAGAGAAGATAGCTCTGATGCTAAGACTTAGGGGTGAGCCAGAGATTTTCAGAGGAAAAATAAAGGAGATCCCAGATACAGCAGAAAGCAAAGGCTTGGAAGTAGAGAGTGCAACGGGTAGTCAAGAAATCA